CCTCTCTCTCTCTCTCTCTCTCTCTCTCTCTCTCTCTCTCTCTCAAATAAAAATAAAAAAAAAAATTCAAAGCAAATGAAGCAAAGTCTTCCATTTCTGTGGCTAATTACTTCACATTTCGTTAGCTTCCAAAAAGCTCACAGCATCATACCAGCACCTTGGGAGTAAACTACAGAAGGAGTAACGTTATTTAAACGTTCTGATGCCGGGCACAGTGGCACACACCTGTATTCCCAGAACTCTGGGAGACTGATGCAGGAGGGTCAAAAGTTCAAGCCCAGCCAGGGCAACTTAGGAATTTAGCAAGATCTTGTCTCAAAATAAAATGTAAAAGAAGGCCTGAGGGGAAAGTGCAGAGGCCCTTGGTTCAGTCCCCAGTGCTGGGAAGAGAGGAGGCTCATCTCACCAATAAGGGCAGTGACACATGAGAAGGCTTTTGTGTGTCCGTCTGATGTCAAGCTGGAGGCTAACTGCTTGTTTCTCCTGCCCTGTCCTTGGGGATGCTGCTCAATTCTGATCATTGTTTTATTTTTTTCTGAGCAGTTTAAGTTCTGGGCCTGGGACCCGGAAGAGGAGCGGCGGCGACAGGAAAAATGGCAGCAGGAGCAGGAGCGTCTGCTTCAGGTAGGACTGGTTCTGCTGCTCTTCCCCCTTCTTTCAGATGCTACTCACCTTATTTCTGTTGCATTAAATAGATTTTTAGCACAGGAAATGAGATTTGTCAGTTCATTTTGTGTCTAGGCAAGAGTATTCCATATCTGATTCTTCCTCCCAGAAAGTACAGTGATGAACAAGAGGAAAAACTGTTCACATTAACACTTTAAGAACCTCCCAGCATTGATTAAGAATCAGTTTACGAACTTATTACCTCTCTACTTACCAATTTCTAGCCCAAGTGGCAGTGAGAATGAATTAGCCAAAAGCTGCTTACTAGCATAGAGGTGGAACCAAATTTGGCCTCAGTTTACCGCAGGGGTCTCAGAGGGGGCTGGGTTCCCCGTAATGAGTCTCCATCTCTCTTTGGGATCTTGCCTTCACTGGTGAAGAATGAAGAAGTGGGGCTCTTCCTGGAGCATAAGGGAGTCAAGACTGACACGGTGCAAAGCAGAAGTTCATTTATACTATGGCAAAGGTAGAGAGAGCAGGAGAGCTATCTTAGCAGCAGCGTGGGGCGGCAAAATAAGGGGCATCCTGCTTAGATGCCCGGCGAGTAGATGATGTGCCCATACTTACAGGGGTGAAGCTGTTCTGTTGATTGGCGTGGGCTGGGCCAGTCAGGGGCTGAGACTTCATTTCTGGGAAGGGGCCGTGTCAGCACTGAGTTAATGTGAATAACACTTCCCCCAGGATACAGTAGGAGTTGTTTCCTGCAGTACATGGTGCGCAGATCAGCGTGCGAGGCTTTCCAGTCGCCAGCCACGGATATAGTCATCAGCCACAGATGAGCGTGGGATGATCTCACAGTGTTAGTCATCTGGGTCTGGTCCCGGGTTTCTGTTTCTGTTCCTCTAATCTCCCCTTACATCCCCCTCTGACTCAGTCATCCTGCGTCCATCCATGGCATTCCTCTGGCAGGTCCCGGGCAACATGAAGGGCAGGGATATCAGTGAGGAGGGATGATCGAGGTGACCGAGGGGGAAGGAAGTGGTAGCTCCTCAGGAGGTTCCATCTGCAGGACCACCTGGATTTCAGTCGCACTGCCGCTATGTAGGCGCGTGTGGAACTACCTGCTGTCAGCTCTGTTGTTTGTTGTGACGCAGCAGTCACGCCTCCTTGCTTCTTAGGGTCAGGGATGGTTTTATTTAATCAATTGTAGCATGGCTTTAGCTTTGTCGGTCAAGTTCGGTACTTTTGAAAACTCAACAGCAAAATGTTAGTGAGAACCTGACCCATCCAGCCCAGAGCCATCAGGACTTTCAGACCAGTCCCGACCGTCTGCTGTTTGGAATACCAAGCTCTTCTTCAGCTAAATGGTCAGTAGTCAGAAGTCACAAATTCCATGGAGTAACAGGGTGCACAGCCCACTGAGGTGCTCCGAAGAGGGCCCTGCTTACAGAGGAGGCACCAGGCACGGATTGCTCCTGTCCCACTGAGAGTTACCTGGTGTAAAATCGCGGGTCCTGGAAAGAGACATGTGCATGTGCATGCGGGTGTGTACAATTGATTGTGTGCACCCGACCAGCTGCGTCTCTCAGTCCCTGCACCCTCAGGTCACCGCCCTGGTGAGGGAGACCCCCGACAAGTAGTGGGAGTTCCTGGCACCGAGAATCCCAAAAGGCCTTACCTGCTTTTTAGATTATCTGTAGTTAGGGGCATCTATTTCCTAATCTAAAACGGCCCTGAAGTCCATCTCCGACACTTTACAATATTCGGTTGTGACTATGAGTTTTTACCTGGTATCAAAGAGCCTCTGCCATGAGCTGACCAGCAGTGCTTGTGGTAGAATATTGATGAGAACGCCAGTCTGCAGACACTCGTAAAGTCCTCTCGCTCCCAAGATAATGACGTAACAGGTGTCCCAGGGGGACGTCTTGCTCCTTCCTCTACAGATAGCTGCAGACCTGTTTTAGCCTCCAAGAGGGGATCTGTGATGATCAGCCCAAATAGTGGGGTGCAGCACGCCTCGGCGATTCCTTTGTCTCTGTCATGTCAGGAAGCCATTGCCAAGACTCCCGGATATAGGACTCATTTCAGTGATTCATTTTAATCTCCATTCACTCACTCCATCTAGTCAGCTTCCAGGAGTACAGTCACGTTTGCTGGGGACCATCTCTCTTCGGAGTATTTTATTTTCCTCCCAAAAGTAGAGGCTACTGCTGTGCTTTTTATTTTGTCTTATTTTATTTTATTTTTTGTGTTTAGGACAGGGTGTACAGGGTCTACAGGGTCTCACTGAGTAAATCGGACTCGTAGTGATCCTTCTGTTCACAGCCTCCCAAGCGCTGGGGTTACAGGCACGCACCACCACGCCCAGTCTCAATCTCCACCTCAGCGCAGACCCGGGGGGCATCGAACTCCTGGCCCTTGCATGTGCCTAAGCAGGGGCTTTAATCCGCTGAGCTCTTTGGCCAGCCCTTTTTATTTTATTTTTTAAAGAATACAAAATAGTGATAGAAAAAACAGCATTAGAAAAGAAGCAAAATTTCACTAAACAAAGTAATAGGAGTTCAACAATGGTTGCTGTATTACATAATGCCATCTTCTAATTAATTGTTCAGGTCATCAGATATAAACATGCAAGATTAGTTTAAAGAAAAAATAATAATATAGCAAAAACATTGTAAGAAATTCCAAAGAAAAAAATGATAAGAATAAAAAGAAAAAAAAATTGTTAGCATTAACTGCTCCTTTCAAAAGGCCAGCAGAAATCAGCAGTATAATTCCAAACTATTGTGCATATACCCCTAAATATATCTTTTTCCCTCCTTTCAATTTTCCTCTTCCTCATCCCAGTTCTTCATTCCCATAGAGCAAATTCTAAAAATTTCTTTCTTTCTTTCTCTTTCTTTCTTTCTTTCTTTCTTTCTTTCTTTCTTTCTTTCTTTCTTTCTTTCTTTCTTTCTTCAGTACCAGGGAGTGAACTTGGGACCTTGCGCTTGCCAGGCAGGCACTTATGCCACTGAGCTCTCTCCCCAGCTGCGGTGCTTTCTGAACATAAGCATGGAATTCTGATATAGAAGCATTCTAAAGGGTGTTAAACAGTTGCTCTTAGAGATGAGGAAGGGGAGTGATGGAAGAGAGAAGAAAGGGAGTGATGGGGCTGAAAATAATTTTTTAAATGTATGTACCAGTGTACCAAAATGAATTTCGTTATTTTGTATTACTGATACACCCTGATTTTTAAAAAGCTGCTGTAAGTCAAAAGTTCCTGCAAGCCAGGAAGGTTTTATTTTGTTGCAGTGGTGCAAAGCAAAGCGTAATTTAGCTACAGTTAGTTGTCATCTCATCCACTTTGGATCTTACTGTATTATCTGTCTTACAAATCTACAAGGTTTAAAATCTTTATTAAACCCTCTTTGGCAACATTGTATTTCTTTTCTCTTCAGGGGTGGGGTGTCAGGGGTCTGGGCATTGAACCCATGACCTAGGCAAGAACGCTATCCTTGCGCCACACTCCCAGACCAGCAAGGGCTCTCTGAAGGGCCCAGTTGTTAGCCTGTGTGGAGCAGAATTCAAATAAGGAGCATCGTTTCTGAATTTTTTTCAGCTTTTCTCTTTCCACAAGCAGATTTCTATTTCTTAATCTAGAGAATAACTCTACAAAATACAGCAGCAGAGAACACTACTCTCCATTGGATTTTCCATTCCTGAAGTGTTGAGCGCTGCACAATGACACTGCCTTTGTAGGAACAGGTTGATTAGATTTAGAATGTTACTACAGGAAGAAATGGTGCCACATGTTGGACATGGAGGCTCAGAGCAGGAGTCCCAGGGCTGCGTGCAAGGATCACTGTCAAACAATCTGTGGTCACTCTGTGACAGGAGCGCTACCAGAAGGAGCAGGACAAGCTAAAAGAAGAATGGGAGAAGGCCCAAAGGGAGGTGGAGGAAGAGGAGCGCAGATACTATGAGGAGGTAGGAGCTCGGGAGACCTGGACCTGGTCACGCTCCTCAGAGGCTGTCCCTGCCTTTTGCACGTGTGTCCTGTGCGTGTGTGTGGCTTCCGCTGTCTCTGTCCACGGCACAGCCCCAACAGCTTCTTTAAAAGAACTACATCGACCCTTCGGTTCATGAGCATGATGATTGGGTGCTCGTGCCTTATGCGTGAGATGTGCCTCCCTCAAACCTTGTTACAACGTGGGCACATTACCTGTCTGACATGAAAAAGAGCTACATCATCTCTGCTGTAAAAGACCACGATGGCCCCTAAATGCGGCTGTCAAGAGTGCACTGTAGTCAAGGAGACAATATGATGACACCTTTCCTCAGGATACAGTCTGATCCTTGGCCCATCCTATAGAGGTGACAGGAAGAGATCAGTTCAATTATGTAATTTTAGGCTTGTTCATAGTGGCCATGTTTGGCAACAATGAATTAACTTTATAGGATAATTTGGGTATTTGGCTAAATGAGTGTACCCTTACTATACTGCCTTCACTATAGAGTACTAACAAGATGCGGAGAGAAAAATTTTATTTCACATTATTTTTTAATTAATGAACCAAAACAACCACATTACAGAATTTGAGGTGGGGACATATTATGTGTTATCTAAAAATTGTTTATGATTAGTATTGTGAATTTTGTCTACAGCAATAATCTTCGTATGCAGTCAGATCACTAATAACGTTTCTTAGCTAAGCCCTTTGAGTCAGACAAGTGAATTGAGACTTTAGTTTTCTGTACCAAATGCTTATTTCTAAATCAGTGTCCATAGAAAATATTGGATGATTTGCATGCTTTTTAAAAAAATAGCTATTTTTAAATGCTTGCTTCTTCACACATACTCTGACTTTTTAACCTTACATTCCTTAAGGTAATTTTCCTCTTGATAAGTATAATTGACACCTTTATTGATTCCTGCCCTTCCCCTAGGAGCGTAAAATAATTGAAGACACTGTGGTTCCATTTACTATTTCTTCGAGTTCTGCAGACCAACTGTCTACATCCTCCTCTGTCACGGAAGGCAGTGGGACAGCGGTGAGACCATCAATAAAAAGCAATCTGTGAATGAAATAAACCTAACTAGGCATATACAAGCACAGTGCCAAGTTTCCCCTCCAAACACGATAGTCAGACACCATTTTTGGTCTGGCCATTGCCTCCAGAACCATGTCATGTGCTGCATGGCATTGTGCGGTGTCATCACTGGTCCGTGAGGAAGAGCAAAGTCATTACAGCAGACAGCGCGGTGGGTTGTGGTTGGCAGAGCTGCACTGTCCTGCTCCCAGCCTGGCTCCTGGCTGGCTCCTTCCTTCAAAAGATATTCTTTCCCCCTGCAGGCCAGGCCTTCCCTTGCACGGTTGGGTAGCAGCAAACACACGTGCATTATATCCTCCATCAGTTCCAGGAAGGTTACCTCTATCCCCCAACATTCCTCAAGAAATTGGCAGTGTGCTGGAGGGCTGGAGAGGCCTGGAAGGCTGCTGTCCCTCTGCATTCCCCATGTAAGGTCACAGAGGTACTGAGGGGAAGTCATGCCAAGCCCTGTGTAGTCTACATTCTGTCTACACAATAAAATAACCCATGGACACCAGGCAAGCATTTGCCCTTGAAATAAGCAGCCCTGTGAGTTGGTTTTATTTTCTTTTAATTTACTTTTTTGGGTACTGGGGATGGAACTTAGGACCTTGTACTTGTCAGGCAGGTGCTTATGCTGCTGAGCTATCTCCCTGGCAGTTGGCTTTATTTTGACGAGAGGATTTTCTAACCACTTCTTTTTATGGCATCACTTCAGAGATAAAGAGGGCCTAAATTATATATTTATTCCAAATAATTAGAAATCAATTAGGTTCCATTAATTTGTGTGACTGCTGTTTACATTGTAGGCAGTGTGATTGAAAAATTCTTCAAGGGCTCATGAGATAGCTCAGCAGACTAAGCACCACTTAGGCAAGTGCAGGGACTGTGGCTTGATCCCCAACACTTCATGGCGTGCTGGCCCCATCCTTGGGCATGCTGAGCTGGCAACCGAGTCCAGGCATGGTGGCGCATGCCTGTAATTCTATTGCTTGGGAGGCTGAAAACAGGAGGATCACAATGAGTTGAGCTGCATTGTGAGACCCTGTACCAAATACATAAAAAAAAAAAACCAAGAAAAGAAAAATGCTTCAGATATTTAATGACCAGACATAATACTGTCCGATAGATTTAAAAATTATATTTAAGTCAGGAGGTGGTGGCATATGCCTATAAAATAAGCCTCTGGAAGGCTTAGGTAGGAAGATTGCAAGTTCAAGCCCAGTTGGGCAATGTAGTGATTTAGCAAGACCCTGTTTCAAAATAAAATAAGGGCTGGAGTTGTAGTTCTGTGTGAAATCCCTGGGTCCAGTCCTCAGCACTAGAGAAAATATATATGTGAATATGATTACCCTTGTTCTCCCCTTAGAATAAGACAGACTTGGAAAACTGTCATGATGAAGACAGAGAGAGAAAACAGAAGAAACCGTTCCAGGGGAATGATAATGACACGCTGCATAAGGAAAGTGATCTGCTGGAGGAGAAGGGCAGGTATGGGCCGGCCGGCTGGCCCCGAGATCCGAAGAGCCGAGCTCTGCCCCCCACCCCCGCCGCCCCTCCCTCGCCCCTCCCCCCGCGCTGCTAATGCAAATCACATTCAGCCTTGAAGAGATCGTTCCAGTAATGCATTACATATCGCTTGAGCGTATTGTAATAGCTCTGAAGTCAGCGTCCTCATGCTCTTGAATATAAATAGCCCGATTTTTAAATAGACAAAAACATTTTTTAACTAAGAAGAAGTGAATAGACCATCAAAGAAGTCTGTTGTCAATTCAAAAAATTGTCATCAATTCACTGAAATGGTGACGATCTTTGCAGGGACAGTGCTGAAAGGAGAGCCTGGAGTCTCATCCCTGTGGTCCACTGCGGCCGCGAACCTGGCTGTTGCTGGCCCCCAGGCTGTGAGAAGCCACGCTCACTCAGGATGACAATACCAAGGGTAGCCAAGTGGCTGGTTGTCTGTGGTGCCACCCTCACCACAGCTCCAGTATATGCCATGAAGGAGAAACTCGAAAATGGAGCCAGAAACTTCTGAGGCCCTCAGGACTGCTCAGACTCCAGTGTGGCCCTGGCTGTGATGGGCTTATTGATGCCGGCCATGCTGGCCCAGAAGGGACCTACAGAATGCCCCGGTGGCATTCCTCCAGGTTCCTTGTGAGACAGGTGTTTGCCTCTGGGGATCTGAGATAGAAGATGGGCCCTCGGAGGGGCGTGTGCATCCGCAGGCCTGTACAGCACCCCAGGGGTCTCAATGGCAGGAAAAGCTTTCCAAGGGTCGGTTCTAGGACTGGCTGGGAGTTTGGCTTTGCTGGGGAGGTTTGGCTCTGAATCCTCTGGAGCTTGTTAGCTAGAAAGCTATGTGAAGTACAAGTTTCAGGAGCTCAGGGCGTATGTCCGGAGACAGCATCGTCTTTGGATAATAAACAGATCTATTTTTCAGTTAACACTATTAACAGAGGTTTTCTAGTATTATGAAATCAAACCTACTGATCAGAAAGATTTGAATGATGTGAAAAACTATTTTACATGCATTTTCCTAGTTCTTCATGTAGGTATTTTGTAAGAATTTTTGTTAGTTCTCCCAAATGTCCTCTGTCACCAGCAACTTGCTCTGTGTCGCCTTCATCTCTCCTTTCCTGTACATAGAAGCTACTGAAAGCCCAGTGGAGTGCCACAGGCTGCGGAGGTCCCATGGGGTGCAGAGGAGTCCCACAGTAGTTCCTGTCTTATAAAAATGGAGATTCCACTGAGCCCGCACATGCCTTGTAATGTTAGGCATGAATAGCTTTGTGGACAGGGACAGCATCCCAAATGACAACTATATACTATAATATTTTAAGTCTATTTTAAAATGAAAAGAATAAGTAAATGATCTCATCTTTTCTTTTAGATTTTAACTGGTGCTTCCATACCCTAGGTGATCCCTACCAATAAAATCAATCCAGCTGCTTTTATCACGGTTCTGAAATATGATTATTTTAACAGCCTATCCCAAGGGCCACGGGCTCCCTCTGAGAATTCCACATCAAAAGGAACCCATCAAGACCATCACCTGGATACAGAGGTTGGGACCCTGCCTTGTGGGACAAACCCACTGCCAGCTCAGGGTAAGGAAGAAGAAGACAAGTCCCAGGACTTCAGTTATTATTGTACGACCTCCGCACTGTCCAGCTAGATCTGACCTCAGCTAGCTGTGAGCTTCTCCTTAAGGGCCCTGGACCTCTACCTTGTGCTAAATATATAATGAATGGAAGAACTAGCATCATGGTCTGGGGATGACATGATATCATTTGCGATTGAGGGTCCAGCGGGACTTGAGCAGAGTGTGTGGGTGGGGGGGGCTATGGGCATGTATATGTGTTACATATACTTACTGAAAAAAACGTTCAATTTTGATAAGCAGTGCATTTTGGGATTTCCTAACCTATCCTGATCTCACCACTGGGGTAATCGCCCCACAAAATGTTTATGGAGCTCTAGAGTCCACGTGACCAGGTGGCAACACGAGAGGAGGCTGAGAGGTTACTAACAGCTCGTGCCACACTTGCTCTCACCTGTGCCCCTGTACTCAGGTGCCCCATGATAAAATCAGAGGTTTTCCTAAAAGAAAAAAGAGAGCATTTAGACCAGAAAAATGGCAACAAAGCTTTTGTAAATAAGGAGGGGAGACAGTATTGAAGGGAGGCGAGGAAAGAAGGGGAATAAAGAACCAAGATACATCATATGCAGGTACAGGTTTCTTATGATGAGTGTGATCATTTTGTATGTCAAAAGTACACCAATAAAATTATTTTTAATAAAAATAAAATAAATAAAACCCAAATAATAATCTCCCCAGTGTAAAAAAAATATTTTTTAAAAAAGCTCCTATTCTGCATGCCACTGACAGCTGCAGTGTCAAATCCATGAATGCCTGTGGACATCTGCATTTGGACCCCCTTTGATATTTTTTTTTATTTTTATTTATTAGAGAGAGAGAGAGAGAGAGAGAGAGAGAGAGAGAGGTGTATGTGTGTGTGGCCAGCTCAGCCCACCAGGGGGCGGGGCTGGCTGGCATGTGGTGCTGGGGGATTGAACCGCGGTCCCTGATGCCTTGCCAAGCTTGTTCTAAGTAGGTGCTTTAGACCACTGAGCCATCTCTCCAGCCCCCCCTTTGATATTTTAATTCATGCTGGCATGTCTTTTTACCTAACTTGTTTAATGTTTCATCTTTTTTACTACTAAGAAAGCTTCGACAGTATTTGCTGCTGACAGATACTTCTTGACTTACACTAATGTTAGAAGGGTTAAAGAGGGCTGAGCTAAGAGGATGAAAAACCATAATAAATGTTTTAGGGCAAGGCAAATTTGACTGAACAACAGAAAAAGTTTCAGTGGTGGAATTAATGAATTTGGCCTTGTACTTTGAGCACCTTTTCTATTAATGGGTTTGTGTGGATCGATGGTCACACATAAGCATGCACTTGCATATGGTCCCAAGGAGAGAGCCTATGTCTCTGTGTAGAGTCCCATCAATTTAAAACACGTCACAGCTGGTATAACTCATGGGTGAGAGAAAACAATGGGTGTTTATTGTGTTTTAGAAATTATGCCCCAAGTTATACTGCGTCCACTCAAATATGTTTTCTCTAATGAATAGAACGCAGAACAAGTTGGTACATTGAGTGTTGTCACTATTGCACCAGAAATCCCTGAGGCAAAGGAGCCTGGCTCCATGTCCCTTTGCTCCCAGAACTGAGTCCCAATGCAGGGCACACACTAGCCCCTTGAGCCCCTGCATGCCCACAGCCTCCCTGACGTTACTCTGAGAATTCAGCAGGGGGCGTACGAGGCATAAAGGTGACTTCCTCAATACAAAGCTGGTGTTCTTTACTTGGCTCAGATCCATCCCCGAGCCAGCAAGCAGCAAACCCAGCGACGCACACAGTAGAAGAGGTGAAGCCCAAAACCCTGCAGCTGGATAGAAGCATCAACCATCAGATCGAGTCTCCAAGTGAAAGGCGGAAGTGAGTAAACAGCATGGGTGCGGGATTTAAATGCATTGATTTTAAAAGTTGGAGAAGTGAACAAGGGTGATGGCAAAATATCAGCAGCACTTTTGTATTTTTTTTTCTCAGTTTGATTCTTTGACACAGTAACACATTTGTGGCAGTTTGAGACAGTCTTCCTGCCAATAAATAATCACTCAGACTATATCAAGTTATAAGAAAAACAGCATCATACTCTTAACCTACAAATATAAGTATTTGAAAAAATGCACGAGTCTCCTGTACTTGTAACTTACTTGAGTTAAACTATCTCAGAGCCTATGAACAAATATTCTTTCAAGGAAGACATTGTTGTGTTCCTATTATTACATTCTCATTAAAGTAGCTACCCTAGGCTCCATTTGAATTTTGTAAGAACCCAATTTTTTACATTAAAAATGCTACTTGCTATCATTTTTGTGTGCTTCCTTATAGTAGGCACTATGTTGAAGAGTTTACAAATATTTCTCTCCTTTTCTGATGCTAATCCACTGATCCCTTCCAGTGAGGAGCTTCTAAGGTTGTTGTTCACAGAAGAAAATGAAGCTTCGGGAAGTTAAATTACTCAGCTAAAGTGCTTGACTGGTTAAGTAGCAGAAGAATTCAAAATGAATTCTTTACAGAAAAACCTGATTTAAGCCAGAGCTCCCTGGTAGCCACGCTGGCAGAAGTAACATTCATTATACTTTAACCAGTCATCCTGCGTGGAGCCAGACCATCTGGATACAAGTCTGCTTACTGTCTTACTTTTTTCTTGTTCCTGTGACAACACCCAGTGCCCAAAGTTATAGGGAGGAAAGGTTTAATTAGCTCACAGTTTGTAGGTTTCAGTCCAGATTTAACTGGCTCTAAGGCAGGGTGGCACATGCAGAGGGGCAACAGGTCGTGGTGGTGGAAAACAGCAAAAGCAAGGAGAAAGAATGAGACAGGCATCTTTCTGTGCCTTAAATCCAGCTTCCTGGATTAGGGTGGTGCCAGCCCAATCAGTGGACTGATCCAGCCCTCACCCACCCTTATTCCCAGCACCCTTAACCCTGGCATTGCATGGCAAATCAGTCGCACACTAGATTCAGCCAGCTCCAGCAAAAACTCCATGACCTCGTGAGGCTTGGTGGGGACATGTAGTCGCAAACCATAACACCTACTTTGGACCTTGAGCTAGTTACTTAATTTTTCTCTGCCTTAATTTTCTCATTTATGAAATGAGAATGATAACAATACCCATTTCATCAGGTTCTACGCCTGGAAAATAGTAAGTACTGTATCATGCTATATAGATGATGACAATAACTGTGCTGTGAGAGCAACATGTTCAGGTTTGACCCACTGTTTTCCTTTTTCTTGATACAGTGTTCAGACCACACACACACACACACACACACACACACACACACACACACACACTCCATCTATCCAGTTTCATTTCTAAATAGACACCACAGTCAACAGGAGATCCATCACGTAAATGTCATTGTTATTGTTGCTAATTGTAGTGACTCTTAGCTGGTTTTCCAGGCATGATATTTACACTGGAGGGTATTGGCTGGAAGCCTCATGTTTTGGAGAAGAACTTCTCAGCCTAAAGGGGCACCTAGAAGTGGCGAGAAGCTCAGGGAGTTAGCTGAGAGCAGAGGATGACTGCACTCAAGCTTGGTTCTCTTCTGTGTTGGTACTTTTCTTCTCCTTGCCCTTTTCTGTGTTCTATCACTCTCTTTACAAATGAAGTTAACTTTTAAAATGCAGAGCCCAGAAGCAACAGCCAAGTGATGTGCAGAGCTCATATGGGACCCCTGTTGTCTACACCACCTCTTAGGGAGTCTCTGGCTGAGGACAGCTCATTTTCCTCACTGCCAGCCCTTGGTGTAGTCATTGCTAAATATTTTGAATATCACCCTTCATCACGTGACCCCAAAATGGAAGCCACCTCGATGAGGCTCACCTTGGCGATTCTTGGGTATTCCCCTAGAGATTTGCTCATTTCTCCCTCCAGCCATGTTCACAATTTCTATATCCATCCCTTCATGGAAAACTAGTTTGGTGAACAACTGTAATAGAAAACCCTCGATTTTAACTAAAGAAAAATTAAACTGAAAGGACTACTAAAAGATGGCTCTGGTTTTTCTGTTCACCTGTGTCAGGATAAGAGCCTGGTTCTGATTCTATAATGCCAATGCATGTATGATCCTCACTAGGCAGAATTACTATTTTCTTTTCTTTTCAAAAAATTAACACTGTAAGACTCTGTGGTCTCTAATTTGGTTTCAAGAAGTGTTATTTTTATTTAATTATTTTTTTAAAATATACAGTATGTTTTCTTTTGGAATCTTGGGGCTCTGTTGACTTGTCATAATTGTTGGCTCCTTTACCGTGTTGCAGGAAAAGCCCTCGGGAGAACTTCCAGGCTGGGCCCTTGTCCCCTTGCTCTCCTACCCCTCCTGGCCAGTCACCAAACAGGTACAAGAGGTTAGCAAGCCTTCCCAGGGCTGCTTTGTGCAGGCCCGCTGGGCAAGCATCACTCCAGCTGAACTGATGCTTGCCAAGTGATGGGGGACATGCCACCCACATCCCTTCCCGCACACACAGAGGCGGCAGGAAGGAAGACATCCCCCACCTGTCTGCAGAGTCATCTGCTAGCAATAGAAAAAGTCAAGCGTGTGACGTTGGCATGCTGTGACCATAAGACTTTAATTACATTGTGTGGAACGTGCAATCTAATAATAAAATCCACCAGACAGCTGCTGGGCTCCTCCGGCGGCGCCTTCCCCTCTGGCAGCTCAGCCTTCTAGGCAGGGCTGGTTGAGGGCTCTTCCAGAAGACCCGGCAGAGGCAGGCCAGCCAAACCTCACCATCTCTCTAACCTACTCTGGCTCTCCTCATGATTGCTTCTGGACATTAATTGGGCCCCATGATATTCTTAAAAGCCATCTGACTTTCCATTCACTGGAGAGACAAATTACTGGGTAGCCACAGGTTTTACTTCATGTAGAAATTTCATTTTTCTCCTCAATAAGAGGGAAGTCCTAAGAAATAGGTTTTGATTAGGACAAATCTTGCTCTTTTCTATGGCATTTCTTTCTGTTTCCTCTGTCCCTCTGCACCACCTTTCAAATCACGCTGCATGATTTTAATTTTTTGTGTGTAATTCCAAAGACTTTTCAGATCACAGATAACACCACAGTCTGACACAGTCATCACCACAGTCAACACCAAAAGCTGGAGGAAGGCTCCCAAGGACAGCTGTCCAGGTTCACATGATTTGTTGACTGTGCCCTCTTCCCTGGCACTGCTCTGCTGCGTTTGCCTCTGACTGTTGGTGGGCACTGCCCCGAGGGCTGCAGAATAACCCAGAGGAGGTCAAGACAGCCCTGCCCTCCTGGGGCTTGCAGTTCTGAGAGATGGCGAGTGTCTCTTATGCTCAGTGTTTGGAGGAAGTGGCAGAAATAACCTACTCCATCTCTCTTGTTGTGTAGGTGGAAGGAAAACCCAAAGTGGGCTCTTCGCAGCAGATTACTGAATCTGTTAATGGCGCACAGATTAGATCTTATATCTCAGGCCCTTTGCCTTGTTGCTCTTCACAGTTGACTCTATTGTTAATCAAATTTTTTTATAATCAATAAAAACAAGTGCCGTAGAAAAATGTTAAAGCAATAACTGGAACCTTAGTAAAACTAAACCTCATTATCTTTTAGGGTTTATGAAAACATAGGATGATACATTGAGTCCTTCCAAGATATCTGAATACACTGCCACATAAACGTGTTGGAACAGAATGCTTACATACATACATGTTAAAATAAGTACAGCAATAGAGACCTATTGTATTCAATCTAACTTTCATGATCTGGAATTTAGTAGCACTAATACTTAATTTCCTACCCATTGTCAGTTCAGTAATTCTCATTTCATTCATAATAGAAGCATTTTAAAAATCCATGTTTCCATTTTTACATGATGGTATACATTTGCATTTTTGGCCAATGACTCTAAACTGAAATATGTATTCTTACGTGTGTTTGTCACCCCAGGTCTATTAGTGGGAAGAAACTGTGCTCCTCCTGTGGCCTTCCGCTGGGGAAAGGAGCTGCGATGATCATCGAGACCCTCAATCTCTATTTCCACATCCAGTGTTTTAGGGTAGGGAATCGGCGCCCTTCTCTCTCACTGGACTTTCGTAGTGGCTTCTGTTTTCAGTATTTGCTTGTTCGTTAGCTTCCGCCTCATTCTGTGCTAAGCAGTGCCTCCTGGGCGTCCCAAAGGCTTCCTTGTGAGCCCTCTCCCCACATAGTACAGTCGCGTGGGTGGACTCCATCTTTCAGGACAAAGCCCTTCTATCCTGAATCTTTTGGGGTCATGCAGGTAAAAGAAGAGCGATATATCTGTGCGATTTGTCTTTACCAAATAGCTTCAGCCACTGAAGTGCCTGCGCTCCAGCAGTAAGCAGGATAGGACACAGGAAAACACTTTTTCTGAGTCTCTTACGGCTTCATGGATTAATTTCAAATTTAACGTATTTGTTATTCCTTAAACTCTTATGGTTTTGAGCCAAAGTGTTTTCCTCTTTGACCTCAGTAAATAGGTATATCAAGTTATAAAATTGTAGTTCTCAGAAGGAGGGCGTGAAGCCGTCTTCATCTGTTTGATTCTCCCTCTTTCTGGAAGCTGCCTCGTCTAACTGGACTAAGTCAGCGCCTTTGTTATCAGGTTGTTACTATGTTATTTCACTATCAGCTTCTCTAATCAATTATAAACTCCATAAGGGCAGGAACAATGTCTGTCTTGCTCACCACTGTTTCTGCTCTAGCTAGCCAGTAAGCATCAATAAATATTTGTAAATGCATGAATGAATGAATAAACTGAAACATGATATCCTGTTAATAAATAAGTAAGCTAGGGTGCCATCCAAATAGCTCAGTGGATTAAAGCACCTGCAAGCAGGCACAGGGGCCCGCGGTTCCATCCCTGGGGCTGCCTTGCCGGCCTTGCCCCCGGGGCATGCTGAGATAGCAATAGAGACTGGGCGTGGTGCACACGCCTCTACTCCCAGCTCTTGGGAGGCTGTGAACAGGAGGATCGCTATGAGTCCAATCTAGTAGTAAGAGCTGAACACCCTGTAGGCCCTTCCCTAAAATATGAAAATAAATAAATAAATAAGCTAACCAGTTATAGCTGATTTATTATACAATTTAAAGTTGAACTCTTAGCATACCCTGTCCTTTTTTTTTTTTTTTTTTTTTTTTTTGACTGATGGACACATTCAAATTCATAAATAAGCGAGTCTTCCATCTCTAAAAACCAGTTATTTCTTTCTCTGCATAATGCTGATATTCTTTCTTTTTGCTTGCCCTACTTCTTGGTAGTAACTTCCTTGGTTATAAATTAAACTAGTGTGGGTTTAAAATAACTAACACTTTGCCTATAAATTAAGAGATAGTTCAAAAAAAAAAAAAAGAGATAGTGAGTGAAGTTGGCCCCAAATTATTAATCTAAAAACCCAATAACTGCATGAGAGTAGGACACCACAGACAAAATACAGTGTATGTGCAGCTCGTAGCATAGTTTGGGTGAAGCCCCCTTCTGCGCCCAGTGATCAGAGAGCACGAATTAGAGGCTAGTCCTGGTCCCGTGCAAGGCCAGCAACTGGTCCAAACTCAAGTGCCACCTTCTCTGGCACGAACAGCAGAGTATGTCCCACTATTTCTTCTATGCTCTGGCCATTGGGCCAAAAGGAATTCCACTCCTGAAGGATCTGTCATGCTGGGTGTCATTGCCTTTAATGTGGAAATATAAACTGAGATCCCTTTTCCTAGTAATTGTTGGCTGGCAGAACCTACTAACAAGGTTGGAAAGCCTTTGAAAATTATTGATAAGTTGAAATTGTGCCAGAAGGATTTAATCTATTTAAAATGGTTCCACTAGGGCTGGTGAGATAGCTCAGCAGACTAAAGTGCCTGCTTAGGCCAGCTTAGGCAAGCACGAGGACTGAGGTTCCGTTCCCAGCACTATGTACCACACCGGCCCTGCCCCCAGGTGTGCCGAGCCAGCCAGAGTCCACGTGTGGTAGCACGTACCCGTAATCCTAGTGCTGAGGAGGATGAAAACAGGAGGACCCCTATGAGTCCGAGCTACCCGTAACAACCAAATACATAAAACAGAACAATACAAATAAGTAATAAAATAAAATGATTCTACCTTCTTGATTGAGAAAGTGTATTATAAATTTTAAAAGGAGAGGGCCAGTGAGATAGCTCAGTAATCTAAAGCAACTGCTTAGGCAAGCGTACAGGGACTGCAGTTGATTCCTGGCACCACATACCATGCCAGCCCCGCCCCCA